GAGAGAGAGAGAGAGAGAGAGAGAGAGAGAGAGAGAGAGAGAGAGAGAGAGAGAGAGAGTAGGAGAGCTGCGGCTACACAGCTCCTGCAGCCATAGCCAAATTTACATACGCAAAGCAGAGCCAAAACGAATGTAAAATTGCTTGAAACTGCTGAGAGCAACATGTGGTATCCCCCGACCGGTTTCGCCCGGCCACATAGCGGGTCTCATCAAGAGGGTGGCTTTGAAGCCTTCGTGCTCAAAAGGAATGCCTAAGCTTTGCATTCCATGCTTTATAGTTCTGTTTCCTGTGCCTTGGTTCGTCTGTCGTGAGTCTCTGTTGGCATCTCGTAAAACGACGTCCAAGACTCATATATCCTCCACCCGCCTGTCAATTCGTCTCCAGTCGTAGCTCCCGGTGTCAGATCTACCGATCAGTGTATTCCCTTTCTACACATACCCGGCCAATTGCATCCCAATCTGTGCTGTATCGTCGGCTCCCCACTTTGCGGAGTCTACCATCCTGGTCCTAGTATCCGCCCGATACATCTCCCTAATAGAATCTAACGAATTACAGTATGACTCTCGGATCTACCGCCGGTCTTTAGCTCTAGGTCTGTCCAAAAAAGTAAGTGCCGGAGGGACTCCGAAAAACCCGCTCCAAAATGATTGCATCCGTGTGTCAGACCGTAAAGTCCTGGTATAGCTTTTCCTGCAAATTCCAAAACCCGACTAAAACAAAACGAATCCACTATTAAAACTCAAAATTTCAAAATTTCAAAAATTCCAAAATTTCAAATCTAGCCGGCTGTCATTCCGCGGCTACTTGCGCCCGACCGAATTCTTGTTCCGAAGTTTGTCCCTCCTATTACTATTCGCCATGTATACGAGGGCTGAATACAAACGTCGAAGTGCCTTATTAGGCACAGCCTTGGCCAAGTTGGCCAGGGCCCCGAGAGAGACCTCTGGGGGGTATCCCCGGAGGTTTGCTTCGCAGATAGCGAACCCGGTTGCCCCCAGTACGAGCTCCTTGCTCGTGGTCTGGTCCCACAGTCTCTTGATCGTGGTGGTCAGCACCGCTTTCTTCGCACTCTTGGTCGAGTAGGAGCTATAATCCTGCATCGTCTGGAATATCAAATTTCCATCCTTGTATAGTGATTCGGTGTTCTTAGTACTTGGTACAAAATGGATCTGCAGAGGTGATTGACAGATCATCATGCTGCCTCCCACAAAGTCCCATGCTACTCCACATTCGTCCTTGCGGATGACCTCCATATTCTTGTCATAAATGGACTCGAAAGCTTCGAACAAGTTCTCTGGATACTCCGAGTTACTGACGCGGTGAGCCACCCCGACGATAATGGTGATGTCGTCCATAATACGCCATCCCCTGATCAATCTTCTGTCGCTCCCCAGTTCCCTGATGAATCGCATCTCTGCCATCGCACAGGTGATAGATGCCAATATGGGGCTAGTGGCTTTCCCCATTGGAATTCCAAATACCTGCTTGACTATCTTCTCCCCACATCTTACTATCGAATGTCTGAGATCGTATTTGACTCCTTCCATGATCGTCTTTAGAGACAGGCTGACATAGCCCTCCATCTTTCGCCTGTTGTCACTAATAATACACAGCTTCCCCCTCATTGACACGCGAACCTGCCGACCGCCTTTGTCTTCATACAGTCTCAATAAGCATTAGACCGATTGGATAACCGCCTCGTGCGGTATGCGTGAAAACATTTCTTTCACGTTGTAGCATCTTCCCACCACTTGGTGACATCCCGCCCCTCAAGTCTCTCCGCAAGGTCTGATACAAAATTCAGATAGAATGTACTCTTCACAGGTAACCTCTTCAAAAGCTGGTGCAGAGCTCTCGCGATCCTCCTATGTGTCAGCGCTGCCGGGTCGGCCGAGGCTGGGGCTATCGGCCTCCACCGTGCGAGGTCTTTATGCTTCGGGATTACATAGGCTGTCCCCAGGCGGCCATCTCTTCTCCAAGGTCCCACCTTGTCGAGCCCGCATCTGATGAACTCTTCCTTGCTCTTCTTGATAATGTCCTTCTCTGCGTCCAGCGTCCCCAGGCGAACGTCTTTCCAAAACCGTGCCTGTATAGCACTGGGCAAAGTACCGCTGTATCACCCTGGTTTCGATCGATAGGAGCAAGTACCAGGTTTGCAAAGTTCACCCCCAAGACTTTACCTCTTCATCGGTCCAAGCGATTCGCTTGGACTCCGCCTCCGTCCATATCTCCACAGCCTCTACACGCGGCCTCCATTTAGTTTTGAGATGTTTCGCTCCATCTAGGATTGCCTTGCAGATCGTATCCAGGTTTTGTGCCTTCCCCGAACTCGTCACATTTTTCGAGTTGCGTAAAAAACTCGGTATCTCTCATTCTGAGAACCTCGTGAGCACATGTCCGTCGTGCTTCGGGAGATCGAAGTTACGACACGGACAAGGATGCTCTTCCTCGCAAGCGAATCACTTTTGGTTGTGCAGCAACTCTGCCACATTCCGATTGCGCGTCCATACTATCCGGATCCTCGTCTTCAGGAAGTCGGTCAGCGCCCTGTCCCCTTCCATACTCTCAATCAGTCTCTTCGTTACTCGCCTAACTCCCTTTCTCAGTAACCGAGAGTCGAAGGGTATCTTTACATTTACCCTACGCACACTTACTCCCGTCTTCTTCACTATCACCCTATCCAACTTGCTTCTTAGCCTACGCTTTGTCTGCTTCTCCGTAAACAAACCGGCTGTCTTATACAGCCCGATAAGCTTCCATACTCTCAATCAGTCTCTTCGTTACTCGCCTAACTCCCTTTCTCATTAACTGAGAGTCGAAGGGTATCTTTACGTTTACCCTACGTACACTTACTCCCGTCTTCTTCACTATCACCCTATCCAACTTGCTTCTTAGCCTACGCTTTGTCTGCTTCTCCGTAAACAAACCGGCTGTCTTATACTATCCGACTTGGGTCTTCTTAGCAAGGCCGTCAGCATGGCCCTGTTCCGCTCGGTAGTCATTTTTGACTTCACAATTTCTATCACCCTTAGTTCACACCCGCGCTGGATCTCCTCTTTTGCCTCCCGCAATTTGACTATTCGTACCCTCACTTCGATCGTCGAGTCCCCGAATTTCCGTTTGATTTTTCTCCATCCATCTAACCACACTGTACCCCCCGAGCATTTCAGCTGGCTACCTCATGTTCCCAAGTTCACCGACAGCCAGCTCAAGATCGACACGAAGTCTATCCCCCGTTCGCTTATGGTAACTATCATGTCGTTACTCTCCTGCCTCGCTCGACCCTTTCGTTCCCTTCTCCCTCGTCGGTTCCTCGTTCTCGCTAGCTTCTCCGTTTTCCCCAGGTCCCGTGAGTTAAGACTTGGACTCAATTTCGCTATCAGTCTTGTTTCTACTGCAAAGTCATTTGTACTATCTGCATGTCTAATCGGTATGATCAAGTACCTATCAACCCCGAATTTCCTCATCCACCGGTATAAGTGCGGCGACAGTCCTAGTGAGTCGTCTAGTGCGTTCCTACAGTGCTCCCTCCACGCTGTATCATTGGCCTAACCGTACAACCCACGTAGGTCTTCTTCGACCATGGACTCGCGACTACGTATACTCCGCCACTTTGGAGGTCCAACAGGGTGGTTACGTCTTGTGTCCTAGTAAGGTACATAGTTAGCCATGGAATCTCTCCCTGGACCACCAACATCAGTGTGGTCGTTGAGACCGCAACCTCTACGGACCGCGTTGCTTCTCCCGTCACGACCTGTTCCCTTAGCGCCGTCCTCCTATCGAGCCATTCGATTAGACATTCCCACAACTTCCTGTTAGAGGGGGCTGCTAAGCGTCAATCGGATGTCTCTGTGGGCTGGGTCGGCACCGACCTGATGATGACCGGTACCGCCTTCTGCGTCTTCTTCTCCGTAGTAGTACGATCTTTCGTGAACTCCTTCCTAGGTGTGCCGGAGGCCTTAGTCTTGGTCGTTTCTTTGTTCGTCTGCCGATCCTCCTCGTAGTCCTCATATGCCAGCTCCACCTGATGTCTAGCCAGGAGCTCCACCGCCTTAGGTTTCTTCGTATACTTTAGCCCCTTCTGGTCGCATAGTTTCTTCAACACATCCGCTTTCTTTGATGAGTAGATTTTATGCGCCGAGATGCAATACTCGATTAGTACCTTTTGTGAACAACCTGCGGCAAGTCCTTTGAATCCGCCGGTCAAAGGAGTTCTTGGTTCTGCATCCGTCTCCGTATCATCCTTCATATGCATGTGCACGTCGTTCTGCCCTCGGTTCCTCTGCCGCCTGGAGCACTCACCCTTCTCATAGACTCTCGGAGGAGTCTTGTTCTCCTTGACCCTTCCTTTCCCCTTCGATCTCTTGGATCTTCTCGCCGTGCGTTTCTTCTTTCGTCGGGTACGGCTCCTCTGTCTTGCTTCTTGGTCGTCTGAATCCGACGTCGTGGTTGTGGAAGAGTATGTAGTGTCGTCTCCTGTGTTCGTCTCAGTATCCGTGTCTTCGCTGGTCCCATCTCTTCCCTTCCTAGTGTTCGCTCCACGGCGTGGCTTCGTGTTGCTTCATGGGCCTGAGTACTTCTTCTTCATCTTCTTGCTCGAGTTCGACCGCATTGTTCCTCCGCCATTCCTCCATGAGCTCTGCCCGTAGTTGAAGCTTAAATTCCTCCGCTTTCCGTGCGAAATCCTGGCTCCTTCTAAGCTCGTCTTCTTCTCGAGCCTTCTTTTCTTCCTCCAGTTTTCGCCTCTCCTCCATCTCGCGTCTCTCCCTTCTGATCTGTCTAAAATGTTCCTTCATCTCTTCTAGCTCCTGGTCCACTTGCTGATTTCCCAAGCTCCGGCTTCTCCCTGCCCAGCAGTCCCGGGCGATGTGCCTGGGTTTCCCGCAGTTATAGCATACTCCACCGCCTCCACCCATACCTCCTCCTCCTCTTGCGAATCCATTAGTGTCGACATATCCTTGCCCCGTGACCACGTTCTGGTTTCCTCTGTTGCCGAATACCGGTGTTGCATTCGCACTGCCTTGCCCACCCCCTCCGGGGCCATTCGTCAGGAACATTTTCCCCCTCACCTCTACTAAGGCACGTGCTCACTATCTCTGTTAGTGTATATCGATGTATTCTCGTCTATCACGTACTCTCATATTACGGTCGATCTCCAAGATACCGATAATTTCTCTATAACGCATCCTCCTCCTCGTACGCAAAGTTAGTAGTGTTGTCTCGATTCTAATCAGCAGACTCATAAGCCTATCATAAAGTGCAGCCTGCAGATTGTCGTCAGTCACTAGTCCAATCATATGATGCATTGGTTCTATGGTGTTTCTCACGTAGTCTTCTAGCGCCTCGATGAGCCGTGCACGTACTGTGGAGCGTCCCCTATTAGTTCTAACCTCACTCCCGCATCTCGAACATGGCGTCGTCATGTCTAAGAAGCCGATCCGATAATGATCATGCCGATCCCAATCAAAATTATGCCGATCCCATATAGTAGGCAGCGTAATGATCTACCGCCTCTTCCCATCTCCTCTTCCTCACCCTACGTATGCGCATATGTTCTAGTCGTACCCCTGATGCCTGTCCTCCCTTTCCAAGTATCTCTTTGCCTTCGTCACACTCCGATCCTGCATCCTCAAGACCCACCACTACCCCCGTCATTCTCTTCCGTATACCTTCTCGTAAATCATGTAGTTTATTGCAGAAGCAATCTTAACGCGATGTGTCAACGCAGCCACCGCCCAGCGCGCGCGAACAAACGGTTACTACGAGCCCACAAGTAGGAGAGCTGCGGCTACACAACTCCTACAGCCAACAGCCATAGCCAAATTCACATACGCAAAGCAAAGCCAAAACCAATGTAAAATTGCTTGAAACTGCTGAGAGCAACATGTGATATCCCCCGACCGGTTTCGCCCGCCCACATAGCGGGTCTCATCAGGAGGGTGGCTTTGAAGCCTTCGTGCTCAAAAGGAATGCCTAAGCCTTGCATTCCAAGCTATATAGTTCTGTTTCCTGTGCCTTGGTTGTATGTCGTGAGTCTCCGTTGGCATCTCGTAAAACGGCGTCCAAGACTCCTATATACTCCACCCGTCTGTCAATCCATCTCCAGTCGTAGCTCCCGGTGTCAGATCTACCGATCAGTGTATCCCCTTTCTACACATACCCGGTCAAGTGCGTCCCAATCTGTGTTGTATCGTCGGCTCCCCACTTCGCGGAGTCTACCATCCTGGTCCTGGTATCCGTCCCGATACGTCTCCCTAATAGAACCTAACGAATTCCAGTATGACTCTCGGATCTACCGCCGGTCTTTAGCTCCCGGTCTGTCCAAAAAAGTAAGTGTCGGAGGGACTTCGAAAAACCCGCTTCAAAATGATTGCATCCGTGTGTCAGACCATAAAGTCCAGGTATAGCATTTCCTGCGAGTTCCAAAACCCGACTAAAACAAAACGAATCCACTATTAAAACTCAAAATTTCAAAATTCCAAAATTTCAAATTTAGCCGGCCCTCATTCCGCGGCTACTTGCGCCCGACTGAATTCTTGTTCCGGTGTTTGTCCCTCCTATTACTATTCGCCGTGTATACGAGGGCTGAATACAAACGTCGAAGTGCCTTATTAGGCACAACCTTGGCCAAGTTGGCCAGGAA